ACAGAATTGTTACTGAGGGACACAGAATTGTTACTCAGGGACAGACCAGAATTGTTACTGAGGGACACAGAATTGTTACTCAGGACACACAGAATTGTTACTCAGGACAGGGACACAGAATTGTTACTCAGGGACACAGAATTTACTCAGGGACACAGAATCGTTGAATTAAAGAGTATGTCAGACAACACGCAGAGGAGTGGCAGAGGAGGCAATGTTTTAGGAGCGAGCAGACGTGGCAGCAGAGGAAGGGGTCGAGGCAGCACTAGTCGCAGCCAGAGGCCAGTGCTCCCGGTGTCATCCAGCGGTCGTGTCTCCACCGACAACCCTGCCGTCATCGATTGGTTGGCTCGGTCGTCTTCCCTCTTCCCAGGTCACCTCTGACACCTACAGCCAACGGTCGGTGGGTACGTCAGACACAACCGTTAGTTGGCATGGCCCGGGAGCAAGCCCACTGAAATCACGTGTCCTCTACCTGCCCCTGTCCTTGGTGTTCCCTCACCAAGCGAAGTATCGCATGCTGTGGGCTCAGCCCACTGTACAGTGAGGAAGAGCTAACAGAGGGCGGTCAGGAACGGGGGGAGACATCCGCCTCTTCAGCAGCCAGGCGAAGAAGTACTGGCGAGGAGAGTGGCTCGGTAGCCGGTCTAGAGACAGGTCTGTCTCCTGACCCACACGCAGCCGAGGGGGCTAGTAGTGAGGCGGAGACCCTAATTGATGATGATGAGGCTGATCGCACTTGGCAGCCTCGTCGTCATCAGGCTATTGCTATTGCTTCCGCATCATCAGGAGAAGAGGGGTGCCAGCTTTGGCAGCGAGCAAAACAGTCGGTGGGGTTGCCCAGGAGGCAGCAGGGTCGCAGCAGTGTCAGTGGAGGCAAACGGCCACGGAGTAGAGCACCAGCTCCACTGCAGCCTACCACCACGGCCAGTAGTGGTGCCGGTGTGCACACGGAGGAAGTAGCAGTCAGCCAGTGAGGAGTAGCGGGGGCAAAGTTTCCTACTCGGCGGTGTGGCAATTTTTCGTCAAGCCGCCCGAGGAAGTAAACGTAGCCGTATGTCGACTATGTGGCCAGAAAGTCAAGCGTGGCCAGGGGGCCCATGTTGGGACTACAGCGTTGCGTCAGCATATGCAGCGTCGCCATTTGGTGGCCTGGGAAAACCGTGATAAAGATACGGCGGTTCTGCCTGCCCCAGCCCCCGCTCCATCACCCGCTCCGTTACTTGCTCCGTCACCCGACGTCAATCGCCCTCTATCAGCCAGTCAAGGCTCCAACACCTCTGCTGAGGGGAGTTGTCGCTCGTTGGCATCTTCCGCTCGTTCAGATGCTCCTTCTCCTGCTACTCCTCTTCACGGATTCCGTCAGCAGTCTTTCTTGGAATCCGTTTCCAAGAGACAACAGTTTGCGAGCACGCACCCCGACGGTGCAGAAGCTGAACGTCCTCCTGTCCAAGTTGCTGGTGCTGCAGTCCCTCCCTTTCCAAGTGGTGGACTCAGCACCTTTCCGAGAAATGATGGCTTGTGCCGCGCGCGGTGGAGAGTGCCAAGCCGGCATTTCTTCGCCAAAAAGGCAGTGCCAGCCCTGCATTCACATGTAGAAGAGATGGTGGGCCAGTCTTTGAGCATGTCGGTCTCTGCCAAAGTGCACGGCAGCGCCGACGTGTGGAGCTGTAACTACGGTCAGGGACAGTACATGTCATTTACGGCCCACTGGGTGAACGTGGTGCCGGCACAGCCGCACCAGCAACTTGGACAGGTCACGCCGCTTTTGCCTCCACGTTTGCACGTCCTTGGTCCAGCAAAGATGTCCGCCTCTACCACCTCTTCTTCCGCCGTGTCCTCAGCCGCCACCCCCCCCGTGCCAAGTCCCATTACCCGACCGGCATATCACATGTGCAGGGCGCAACGGTGTCACGCTGTGCTGCACTGGTATGCCTTGGCGAACGTAGTCACACAGGGGAGGAACTTCTGAGTGTAATGAACAGAGAAATCGACAGATGGCTGTCTCCGCGCAAACTGAAAATCGGAACCATGTTGACCGACAACGGAAAGAACATGGTGTCTGCTCTGCGTCAAGGAAGGTTGTGCCATGCGCCATGCATGGCTCACGTGTTCAATCTGGTTGTCAAGCGGTTCCTAAAATCCACCATCCCACTGCAAGACATCCTTAAAATGTCACGTAAACTTTGCATGCATTTCAGCCATTCCTACACCGCAAAGCACACCCTCCTTGAGCTGCAGCGGCAGAACGGAATTCCACAGCATCGCCTGATCTGCGACGTTGCAACAAGGTGGAATTCAACCCTACATATGTTAGACCGCCTTTACGAACAGCGAAAGGCCATCACCGATTTCCTGATGTTACAAGCGGATAAAGGTACTCCCCTGTGTAACTTAGATGTCAGCCATTGGCAGCTCATGCGTGACACCTGCCGCTTGCTCAGGCCCTTTGAGGGGCCACGCTATTCGTGAGTCGGCAGGACTATGGGATGAACGACGTCATTCCTCTGTTGCACGTCCTGGAACAAATGCTGTTAACAATGGCTGGTCAGGGTGCGGTAGACGTGGCGCACAGATCTCAACGCCACATGACCCCTGTGGGGGCAGGACAGGAAGAAGAGGAGGAGGTAGAGGAGGACATTGGTGCTCAGGAATTATTGAGTGAAATGGGTGGTTTTTCCACTCAGCGGACAGGAGTGGAGGAGCAGGAGCATCTGGTAGAGGAGGAGGAGGGAGACAGAGGACCCAGACGCACCGTGGCAGTATGCTGTGGAGATGGAGGCAGGGAGTCCCTCGCATTCCTTGGCACAAATGGCCCATAGCATGCTCGGTTGCTTGCGTAGCGACAGCCGAATAATAACCATCAGACAGAGGGATGACTTTTGGCTGTCCACCTTGTTGGACCCTCGCTACCGTTCAAAAATGGTGGCCTTTTTCACACCTGCTGAGAGGGAGGCCAAAATAACGTACTATAAAAACCACCTATGTAGTCAGTTGGTCTCTGCCTTTCTGCGCCAACGTCCATCCTCAGACACTGTGGGCCCTGTGCGCTCGCGTTCCGCTGCCATGGCAGCAGGGGAGGGGTGGGGTGGTAGGAGCAGTGGCAGCTCCACCAGCAGCGGCTGCCTCAGTCTGCAGTCGATGATGAGTAGCTTTCTTCACCAGCGCAGTGAGGAAAACTACTAACCAGCCGCAGCAGCAGCAGCATCAGGTGGACCTGGAGCAGGACCTCAAACAACAGGCTTGGGCCTACTTGGACAGCACCCTGCCAACCGAGGTAGACAATCCCCTTGACTACTGGGCAACGAAACTTGACCTTTGGCCCCAACTAGCTGAATTTGCCCTTGAAAGGCTGTCATGCCCGGCCAGTAGCGTGGCATCAGAGCGCGTGTTTAGTGCGGCAGGAGGTATTGTAAACTCCGCGGAGGACACGACTGTCCACCCAAAGTGTGGAGAGACTCACGTTTGTGAAAATGAATCAGGCGTGGATTAGTCTGGATTTCAAACCACCAGTTCCTGACACAACTGACTAAATCCGCCATGAATCATGCCCCAAACATGTTATTATTTTTAACATAGGCCTCTGTATGGCCTTCAATTTAAGCTGCTTACGCTTCGCCACTCTGCCATGGCCCCTGTACCGCCTCCTCATGCTGCTGCCAGGTCCAGAGTCCTCTCATGGGTCCCTGTACGGCCTCCCATTGCTGCTGTCTCCATCGCCACACTCTGCCATGTGCCACTTTCAGGTCTCCTCACACTGCTGGTGGGTTCCATTTTGTCATAGGGTGCTGGCAGATTACGGGCCTCCCATTGCTGCTGCCAGGCCCGTAATCTGCCATGGGCCCCCGTACCGCCTCCTCATGCTGCTGCGAGGTCCAGAGTCTCTCATGGGTCCCTGTACGGCCTCCCATTGCTGCTGTCTCCATCTCCACACTCTGCCATGTACCACTTTGCAGGTCTCCTCACACTGCTGGTGGGTTTCCATTTTGTCATAGGGTGCTGGCAGATTACGGGCCTCCCATTGCTGCTGCCAGGCCCGTAATCTGCCATGGGCCCCCCCGTACCGACTCCTCATGCTGCTGCCAGGCCCCGTAATCTGTCATGGGCCCCTGTACCCACCCTCCGCCTCCTCATGCTGCTGCCAGGTCCAGAGTGTCTCATGGGTCCCTGTACGGCCTCCCATTGCTGCTGTCTCCATCGCCACACTCTGCCATGTGCCACTTTCAGGTCTCCTCACACTGCTGGTGGGTTCCATTTTGTCATAGGGTGCTGGCAGATTACGGGCCTCCCATTGCTGCTGCCAGGCCCGTAATCTGCCATGGGCCCCCGTACCGCCTCCTCATGCTGCTGCCAGGTCCAGAGTCTCTCATGGGTCCCTGTACGGCCTCCCATTGCTGCTGTCTCCATCGCCACACTCTGCCATGTGCCACTTTTAGGTCTCCTCACACTGCTGGTGGGTTCCATTTTGTCATAGGGTGCTGGCAGATTACGGGCCTCCCATTGCTGCTGCCTGGCCCGTAATCTGCCATGGGCCCCCGTACCGACTCCTCATGCTGCTGCCAGGTCCAGAGTGTCTCATGGGTCCCTGTACGGCCTCCCATTGCTGCTGTCTCCATCGCCACACTCTGCCATGTGCCACTTTCAGGTCTCCTCACACTGCTGGTGGGTTCCATTTTGTCATAGGGTGCTGGCAGATTACGGGCCTCCCATTGCTGCTGCCAGGCCCGTAATCTGCCATGGGCCCCCGTACCGACTCCTCATGCTGCTGCCTGCCAGGCCCGTAATCTGTCATGGGCCCCCGTACCGCCTTCTCATGCTGCTGCCAGGTCCAGAGTCTCTCATGGGTCCCTGTACGGCCTCCCATTGCTGCTGTCTCCATCGCCACACTCTGCCATGTGCCACTTTCAGGTCTCCTCACACTGCTGGTGGGTTCCATTTTGTCATAGGGTGCTGGCAGATTACGGGCCTCCCCATTGCTGCTGCCAGGCCCGTAATCTGCCATGGGCCCCCGTACCGCCTCCTCATGCTGCTGCCAGGTCCAGAGTGTCCATCATGGGTCCCTGTACGGCCTCCCATTGCTGCTGTCTCCATCACCCACACTCTGCCATGTGCCACTTTCAGGTCTCCTCACACTGCTGGTGGGTTCCATTTTGTCATAGGGTGCTGGCAGATTACGGGCCTCCCATTGCTGCTGCCAGGCCCGTAATCTGCCATGGGCCCCCGTACCGCCTCCTCATGCTGCTGCCAGGTCCAGAGTGTGTCATGGGTCCCCTGTACGGCCTCCCATTGCTGCTGTCTCCATCGCCCACACTCTGCCATGTGCCACTTTCAGGTCTCCTCACACTGCTGGTGGATTCCATTTTGTCATAGGGTGCTGGCAGATTACGGGCCTCCCATTGCTGCTGCCAGGCCCGTAATCTGCCATGGGCCCCCGTACCGACTCCTCATGCTGCTGCCAGGCCCGTAATCTGTCATGGCCCCTGTACCACCTCCTCATGCTGCTGCCAGGTCCAGATTGTCTCATGGGTCCCTGTACGCCTCCCATTGCTGCTGTCTCCATCGCCACACTCTGCCATGTGCCACTTTCAGGTCTCCCCCTCACACTGCTGGTGGGTTCCATTTTGTCATAGGGTGCTGTATGGCCTCCCATTGCTGCTGTCTCCATCGCCACACTCTGCCATGTGCCACTTTCAGGTCTCCTCACACTGCTGGTGGGTTCCATTTTGTCATAGGGTGCTGTATGGCCTCCCATTGCTGCTGCCTCCACCGCCACACTGTGGCTCCACACTCTGGTTTTGGCCCCGTGACTGCCCAAATGAGTGAAGTGTGCGGTGATTCTAAGATCGACGGCATTCATCTGCATGTCATACTGACTGACAGTATTATTTCTCTTCCCCAGCAGACTCCAAGGGCATTTAAATTAAAGGTACAGTGTTCTGCACTAATATAAAGGCTCTCTGAAGCCTAGAAACACCCTTTTTAAAGTTAAATTCGCAGCGAATATATTCGCCTCGAATCGAATTTATTCCCTCGAAATTCGCCGAATCAGCCGAATTGAATTTTTGAATACTTCGCTCATCTCTAGTGGCAACCCCCCCCCCCCCCCAAAAAAAAATAAAAAAAACTGACAGGGTAATAACCTTCATTACCCCACTCTATCAAAATGAAGAAGGTTTTGCTTTTACTTCTAGCTTAAGATGGCTGTCCTGTAAATCTCTAAAAAATACAAATACAGTCTTATAATAAAATTTTAAAAATAAATAGATTTTTGCCACGGATCTGTGGATGGATTTTTTGTATCTCTAGTGGAGGCATGGGCTTATCTCGGGGTAAGATGTCCCCTCTCTAGGATTTAGCTGTGTGATAGTTACAGGTTATGGCCCTAAGGTTTGCCCCACAGGTAACTGCAGGAAAACTGGATCAAGTGCAGGATTGTCAAGCAAGAGTGTATTCTAAAGTCAGGTTTAGGTCAGGGCAGGCACAATTTACATAAAATCCTATCACAAGCAGACAAATAGGGAAAAACTAAAAGTACATATAAACTTTTGTATGAGAAAAACTAAAACAAATCATATGGACAGCAGAAGCCAACAAGAAAGGTTTTGCACTTTGCCACTGTGTTATGCAAAAACACCATTCTCTGTTATTCTGCAGATGCAAATCAGCAGAACATTAAAGCCGACCTTTCCTCCATAAAGCTACAAATCCTGAGTAGACCAACTCTGCATGCTGAACTATGAATATTCCTAAAGAGCAACTCCACCCTAGGGATCAGAAATGAAATGTAATATACATATAAATTCATCCTGTATGACAGTTTAAAAAAATATATTTACCTGTCTCATGGAGTCCAGCATTATGTTCTTAGATAATGGGAGAGATCTGATGCACATGCAGACATGCCACAGGTTTCTGAGAGCTCCCATAAATCTGGCAGAGCTCCACAGTGCATCTGCGCATTTGCTGGATCATTCATTAATTGACTGACATACCACACGGCTCTGCTAGATTTCTGGCAATATTACTTGTGTGTGAGCAGAATCTTGCACATTGCCTTCTGTGTGACATAGATATCCCAGGAAGCAACAGTGTCCCTATATGTCTTCCTTGCCTAGGTGAAGGATTGGGAAAGCAATACAAAAAAAAAAAATTATTTGCAATTTTAAAAAATAATTCTGCAATTTTATAGGCAGGTGCAGCATGTGGAAATGTTGCCCCACCCAGGGGGGCTTAATCATAGAGTATGTAGCTCCTATATGTCATCCTCGTCTAGGCGAAGGATTGAGGAACAAGAACTGCAAAAAGAAAAAAAAAGTTATATATAGTTATATACAAACAACAAATTGCATGCAACTATGTTGGAGGGTGGGGGGAAGAGGCACATGAGACCATGTGGAAACCTTTGCCCCACCCAGGGTGCTTAATCATAGAGCATGTAGCTCCTATATGTCATCCTAGTCTAGGCAAAGGATTGAGGGAAGCAACACTGCAAAAAGAAAAAAAAAAAAAGTTATATATAGTTATAAATATATAAATAAAATGGCAACTATGTTGGAGGGTGGGGGAGAGGAGGCAGGTGAGAGCATGTGGAAATTATGCCCCACCCAGGGTGCTTAATCATAGAGCATGTAGCTCCTATATGTCATCCTAGTCTAGGCAAAGGATTGAGGAAGCAACACTGCAAAAAGAAAAAAAACCCGTTATATATAAAAAAAAAATTGCAACTATGTTGGAGGGTGGGGGGGGGAGGAGGCAGGTGAGAGCATGTGGAAATTATGCCCCACCCAGGGTGCTTAATCATAGAGCATGTAGCTCCTATATGTCAGGGCCAGGGGCGGACTGACAACTCATGGGGCCCCCGGGCAATAGGGGACCATGGGGCCCCTGTGTCCTTGCCCAAACTCAAAAAAGCCTATCAAAAAGGTACCAGGGGCATCTCATGGGGCCCCCTACTGACCCCGGGCCCTCGGGCAGTGCCCGAGTTTCCAAATAGTCAGTCTGCCCCTGGTCAGGGCTTGAAAAAGCCGCTCGCCTGCTCGTCAAATGTGAGGAGAAATTCCTCTGTGGCGAGCGTCTGCGAGCGGCGAGCACAGATGAAGAAGCATGGAGCGACTGCACATGCGCTCCAAGCCTCATTGTGAAGCCGAGTTCCAGTTTACAACTTCCGGTTTCTGCGGCATCACCATTACAGTGGCAGCGCCGCTGAGGGGACACGTGCAGGAGAGGTGCGCTCTCCTAAGCTGAGAGGAGACACCCCTCCACCGCCGTGGGGACACGAGGCCCGCTCTACACTGCCTTGGGGGGCACGAGTAAGGTTTGTGCCTGGCTAGTAGGTCTGGACTTGAAATTTTAACCCCTGCTATGTCATCCTTGTCTAGGCGAAGGATTGAGGAAGCAACACTGAAAAAAATAAAAAGGTATATACAATTTAAAAAAAAAATTGCAACTATGTAGGAGGGTGGGGGGAGGAGGCAGGTGAGAGCATGCAGAAATGCTCCTTCTGGCCATGCCCCCTGATGTGTTTTGCCCCGCCCAGGGGGCTTAATCATAGAGCAATTGAAAATGTTGAAGGTCTGCTTTAAAGCAGTAGTGAAGCTTTAAAAAAAAAAAAAACGTTTTCACCCTGCAAGGCAATATTGTAATGTGCTGGTATGCATTGCATAATAGCACACTATGAAAAATTTACCATAAAACGAAGCCCTTCAACGGCAAGCTGTCACTGCTGACAGGGCTTTCATTTTCACCTGGTCTTCCTTCAAGGGTCGCAGGCTCCGGCCATCTGATTAGCTGAGCTCTGATGACGTCACTTCCGGGCATGCGCGCAGGAGCCGCAGGCACGGCACAGAGCTATGAAGGAATGGCACTGGTATGGCGTTCTTTCAGAGCACATACGCTGATGACGTAATTGGCTGCTGCTTGATGGGATATCTCCTAAACGGTCACATTTAGGAGACATTAATTTTACCTACTGGTAAGCTTTTTTATAAACTTACCTGTAAGTAAAAATCGCAAAAAAACAAGTTTACTAAGCACTTTAAGTGACATGTCCAATGAATGCTTTATTTGTGTACTTACATTTTATTGCGTTCTACTTTCTGGACTTCAGAGGCACTGATGGCATAGCTAGGGTCTACCATGTGCCCCAATGAAGGCTACTTCACCTGTGTCTTCCATGAAGATCTTGCTTCTAAACTGTGAGATCTTAAAGGGGGTTTACAGATAAGTCAAAAAGTCCTATGGTGCAAGTGGAAGATTAGGCACATGGCATGTACAACTCATTTCACCACTGCATCATTACACACATTTGTTGTAAAAAAAAAGCTTTTCACCCTGAAATCTTGTGAGATCTTGAGTTGTGGGGGGTATCTTATTTACAAACAAATTAATGTAATGGGGTACGGCACATGTGCCAGAGGAGGTGTAAATTCATTGGTAGGTCAGCAGAGAATAGGGAAAAGTCAGCTGCCAATGACATTTTTTTTTTTAAATGGTGGCATGGCATTCTGTCCCATGGAGGGACAGGAGAGTCCTGAGACTAGAGAAACAGTGCAAGAAGGAGACAGATAATGACTACTGACTTTATTAGGTTTACTAAATAGAGTACAATTATGTAGTCAGATAGCTGACTACATGCTGTAAATGTTCTTACTGGACATTCACATCTCTTACCTTATGCCCTTTGAGGGTTAGGGACTGATGTGAATGTACAATATATATGTGTAAAGCACTGCGTAAATTGACGGCGCTATAAGTACCTGAAATAAATAAAAAAATAAATTACACAGTGCATATCAGATGAGGAATACTTGAGGTGATTGTAGCCGCATTAGTGCACTTGCAACAAAAACAATTGAGTACTGTCCGTGATACTTTTTTTATTTGCACTAACACCCACATTTTCTGGATACTCTTTCATGGTATACCCCCTTCTTCAAGGTCCAAGCAGTACTTTGGAACTTGAACAAGGGAATACACCCTGAAATCTTGTCCAGAAAATTAGGAAGTACCACCGACAGTACTCAGATGAGAAATAGAAAGGGACACACAGTGCTGCCTGTGATGGCTCAATTAACAGAGAACACCATGGGATTGTCTAAAATGTTCACTAGACATCCCCAGCTTCCACTGACAATTTCAGTCTATGGACTTCTAGGCCATCATTAAAGTGATTGTAAACCTTCATTGTTTATTTTTTCAAAATAAGAAACACATCATACTTACCTGCTCTGTGCAATGGTTTTGCACAGAGCAGCCCTGATCATCCTGCTCCCGGATCCCCCGCTGGCGCTACTGGTTCTTTCTCTTATGTGTGCCACCTTAGGAAGCCACTTCCTTTGGGGCACATGTGCAGGCTAGATCCTGAGTCGGGCTGCCTGTGTCTATAGACACAGACAGTGTGTCTTGGCCTGGCCCCCCAACTCTCTCATCATAGGATATGATTGACAGCAGCAGAAGCCAATGGCTCCCACTGCTATCAATCTGCCCTGTGAGGAGGAAGAGAGCAGCAGAGACTCTATTGCTATCTGGCACAGCGCTCGATCGAGACTGGGCTTAGGTATGTATAAGGGGGAGCGGGCTTGGTCGATCATGCAGTACAGATTTTATTTTTAATGCAGAGAATGCATTAAAGAGTAACTCC